ATGGCAGCTGTGTTCTTGGGGAGGTCACCATCTCTCCAGGGTTGCTTCCTCATTTGAAAACTGGTATACATCTGTCAAGGTATTTGGGAGGATTCACTGAGATAATGTCAAGAAGTCCAGAATTTAATAAATGTTCAGAGTATATAAGTTAAACAGTGAATCAAAATCCCTCTTGGCCAGGCATGGTGGTACATGCCTGTAATCCCAGCACTTAGGAGGCTGAGGTAGGAGGATTGCCTTGAATTCGAGGCCAGCGTAGGTTAAACAAAAGATTCCCAGGCCAGGGATTTAGCTTAATGGTGCTGCTGTCTGCCTCGAAAGCACAAGGTCCCGAGTTCAATCCCTGGTACCAAAAAAAAAAAGATTCCCTCCTGAAGGGGTGGAGGATGTGGCTCAAGACTCTGGGTTTGATACCCACCACCAAAAGAGAAAAAAAAAAAAACAACCCCAACTTTCTTGCTTTTCTCCTAGAATCAGCCTCTAGTCTAATGTCTGGTAATAGGAGGAAGAGAGAGAGCAGGGCCTTCAGGCCAGGTCTATCTGAGACTCTAGGGAGAACTGTCCAGCAGAGATAAAAGTTCCTTCCCAGGGGTTAGCTCAAGATCCACAACAGCAGTCAAAGCAGCAAAACACATTCATAGGTGACAGATTCATAATGGGATTTCTTTTTTTTTTTTTTTTGTGGAACTGGGGATTGAATTTAGGACCTTGCACTTGCAAGGCAGGCGGTGGAACCACTGAGCTAAATCCCCAGCCCCATAATGGGATTATTGATTCAAACAGATCTTTCCCTTCCCTGCATTTTCCAACTCCTCCCCAAAATTTGTTGCTGATGGTTGCTTAGTGACTCAGGGACATGGGAACTGGGGGGATGGTTTGGTTGAAGCTGGTGCTAAAAATGACCAACACAAAGGTAAAGGAAAGAGGCAACATCTTCCCTCCTCTTCCCTTATCTCCCTTTGAGCTTTAGTATTGTTTGTTTGTTTGTTTGAGACAGGTATCACTGTGTAGTTCAGGCTGGCCTTGAACTTACTAACCTCAAACATGCAGTGAAACTCCTACCTTAGCCTTCTGAGTGCTGGGATTACAGTTGTGCACCACCACCACACTCAGCCCAAAGTTTAATGTCTTATTTTTATCAAGGGAAACGGAAGCCCTAAGCTCTCAGAGACGCTGAGGGGACTAATGAGTTAAGGAGCCCGGCAGCCATTGATAATAGTAGTAAGGGGCCGCCATGTATGCAGTCTCCAGGGCCATGGGCCATGCTAAGTGTTTCAAAGTCACCTCCTCCATCTACTGGCCCATGTCCCATGAAGTCAGGGACTCAGTCTGTCTTTCTCCCAGCCACAGTGTAAGTCCCAAGCATAGCATCCTCCTGCATGATGGTACTAATGAGGAACACTCACTGGGTCCTATCTTGCAGCCTGGGTTACGTACACTCATGGGAGGCCTCATTCACTGTGTTTGGCACTCTTCATTTCTAATCTTCATGACAATTCTGAGGGGTAGATACTACCATTATCCCCATCTTATGGATAGCTTTCCTAAAGTTACCAAGCAAATAATAGAGCAGGAGTCTGAAACAGGCAGCCTGGCTCTAGAGTCCGTGCCCTTGACCCATGTGTGAGCTCAGGGGGTGTCCTCAGCTCTGGTATAAGTTGTTTTTTAGGTAAAGCAACAGAAGCTGAGATAGAAGTTAAATGATCAGCTCAAAGCAGACCCAGGATTTTGATCTATTTGATCCACAGTCTAACTGCTCTGAAAGGGTCACTTCATTTCCCCATGCCTGGCCCAAGCCTTGGGGCCCATCTTTCCTTATAGGGCTTCCGCATACTCCGTAACTGTCTTCATGCTGGGTTTGACCTAAATTGGGCAGCTGTAGAGCAGCAACAATGACACCCCAAAGCTTGGAGACAGCACCCCTACCGGGTGACTGTCCAGGTCCCAGGGAAAGGCTGGCTGCAGCTGATGCTGGGTCCTCCCTCCACCTGCAGCCTCTGGTACAGATGCCTCGCAGGGGGCCAGGGGTTGTCCCTGTTCCCGTTCTTCTTGGACAGAGTGGTGACTGTCTCCCTGGGATTGAGAACTGGGAGCTTTAGACATAAGGTTGGTCAAGAGATTTTTCATCCTCCCAGTGAGAGCTGACTTTGTCTCTCACACACTTGTTTTCCATCGCTCACGTCCTTGCCCACAAACTGGCATCTGGCTCACAGTGGCTGTGTTGTGACAAGTCAGGGACATGACAGATGCCATTAACAGCATCCCCATCCATCCTCCCAAGTAGGCCGGCATGGAGAGGAGATGAAGAGAGGCAAGGCATCAAGAGAACAGCTCTGAGCCATGTGTGGAGGTGCACACCTGTAATCCCAGCACTCTGGGAGGCTGAGGCAGGAGGATAACACGTTTGGGCCCAGTCTGGGCAACTTGGGAGACCTTGTCTCAAAATTTAAAAATAAAGAAGGTTTGGGAATACAGCTCAGTCAGAAGGCCCTCCGTTCAATTCTTGGTTCTGGGAGAAAAAAATGAGACACACAGACACAGCAGGGGAGGAGCAGCTCTGACATTTAATATTCAAGGATGTCTGGCCTCTGCTGCTTGCCCAACAGGTAACCTCTCAAGGACCTAGATTTCTGTATTTGTAAAATAGGGATAGAAACTCCTCTGGCAGGCAAGGACACCACTTTGTACAATCTGGGGGCACCATTTACATTACTGCCTATGTGAACGGTGCACTTGGAGCCCAACTCCAAGAACTACAAAGTGAAGGATGCGTCAGGATTTCAGATCTCCTCACCTGCACCTTGCAAGTGAGAACGACTAAGCCACCTTTCAGTGTGCAGCCAAGGTGCTAATACAACAGCTGTGAGGACCAGAGACTAAGCAAAGGGACTGGGACAAAGTAGGTGCACAGCAGGGATGGCATGGATACCTCTCCCAAATGCCTCCCATGCTGCACAATGCCCCTGCTTCATTGCAACTCTCCTGTGGACCACAGTAGAGTGGGTGAAGCCCTGCCTCACAGCAGTCCTGTCAGCAAGGCCGAGTTTCCACCCCTACAGAATCTCTACCTCTGTCTGGCCCCACGGTGGCCATAGAGAGTCCTAGACACCTTGGCAGTGGACCAAGCATGCTCAGAGGGTTTCTCTCCACTTGGGGGTTTGCAACTGACTGGCCAAGAAATCCTGGATGGAATCTCTCCCCAGCCTGGGTTTCCAATCTCTGCCCAAAGCAATTGATGTCATCTCTTTTTTTTTTGTACGGGGGATCCTCCTGAGTGCTGGGATTACAGGCATGTGCTGCCATGTCTAGCAAGAAACCTTTCGTTTTGCTTTTGTTTTTTGAGCCAGGGTCTCCTCTGTAATTTTGGCTGACCTTGAACTCACTATGTAGCCCAGGCTGGCCTTAGACTCATAGGGATCCTCCTGCCTCAGCCTCCTAAGTGCTGGGATCACAGGTATGTGCCACCACCCCCAAAAAGAAAGATTTATTAAAACCTATTTGAATTAAAGAATTTAACAACAACAACAACAACAAAACAAAAAACCAAACCAAACCAAACCAAACCAATTTGAATTAAAACCTATTTGAAGCCAGACCTGGTGGTACACGTCAGTATTCCCAGCATTCTGAGAGGATCACAAGTTTGAGCCTAGCTTGAGTAAATTTTTTTGAGACTGGGCTTCACTATTACCCTGTCTCAAAACAAACAAACAAAACAAAACCAAAAATCCCTACTGGATGCTAAGTGCAGTGGAGGAGGAATCCCAAGTTAAAGAAGACAGCTTTGGGCCCCAGGCAGGTCACAGCAGAGCTAGCTGAGGTGGGGGACTGCAGGGACTCAGGAGCGTTGTTGTAACACTGTCCTCTGAGCCCTCAGGCAAGGGCACTGTGGGAAACCAGCAGCGCCCCTGCCATCTTTGGAATCCAGGCCAAGGTCCCCTCCTCCCTGAAGGATTCTCCCTGCCCTTTGGCAGGAGGTGGCCAAAGGGTCTTCATCAACTAGGACAAGCGGCTCCCCTTTGAAATGCTGCCGGTGCTCTTCCCTTCCCTCTCCCTCCACACCAACAGTCCCGGCCTCTTCATTCTGTTTGGTCAACAAACTCTGAGGTAAAGCAGGCCCTGCCTCCTGTCTGATTTACTATAGAGCTCCTGGGCCCTGGCTCAGAGCTAGTAGGTGCTCAATACATGTCTGCGGAACGACTGGGTGGTGAATAAAGTCCTAGGAATACTGGCTTTAGGAGATGTTCTCCCGAGTCATCATGGCTCTGCCCTGCCGGGACCACTGTTACCCCCTTTATTATGTATTCATTCCTTGGACCAGTATTTGTTGTAGAGCTCTTCTAAACTAGGCACTGTGTTCTGTGCTGGGGAGGAAGGAAAGCCATGTCAAGCCCCCACCCCACAGCTCCCTCCCCACACCTTGGCCTTCTTTTATGCCCACTGCCACCACACACACACTGTTCAGGGCCCTTGCTCCTCCTTTGTCTCACCTTTGACCAGGGTCCCACATGCGAACCTCTTTGTGGCTGCTGACCTGTAGAAGAGCCTCTAGCTTCTCACCCCACCCCAGAGACCTGTCCTGACCCAGCTGGAGACAGGTCCCTGCTAGTCTGTGCTCAGAGCCCTATCCACCGCTGCCTCCTAGAAGAGCCTTGAATCTTGTTTCACCTCGGCCCGAGGGGTCCTTGCCCAAGGGCATCTTGCAGAGCCCACCGGTGCTAGGCCGGTTCACTGCGCCTTGGCCCCTCCGCGCTGCCAGCGCCGCTGGGAGCTGCCAGCTTTTTGGAATTCCTAATCGCTTCTGGCCCCGGTGATTGGCTGTTCAGCTCTGACCCCACTTGGGCTGCCGCCTGGTTGGATAAAAGGGGAATCTCCTTGGGGCTCCAGAGCATTACACACCGGAGGGGGCACCTGGGACCAACTTCCCGAAGCGGGGAGCCCGGCGGGGGGGTGGGGGGAGCCAAAGACCGGCGGGCTCAGCCCCTCCAAAGAACCAGGAGATGACGGGGAAAGCGGGGGAAGCGTTGAGCAAGCCCAAATCCGAGACAGTGGCCAAGAGTACCTCGGGGGGCGCCCCGGCCAGGTGCACAGGGTTCGGCATCCAGGAGATCCTGGGCTTGAACAAGGAGCCTCCCAGCTCCCACCCACGCGCTGCCCTCGACGGCCTGGCCCCCGGGCACCTGCTGGCGGCGCGCTCAGTGCTCAGCCCCGCAGGAGTGGGCGGCATGGGGCTCCTGGGCCCCGGGGGGCTCCCCAGCTTCTACACGCAGCCCACCTTCCTGGAAGTGCTGTCTGACCCTCAGAGCGTCCACTTGCAGCCACTGGGCAGAGCATCGGGGCCGCTGGACACCAGCCAGACGGCCAGCTCCGGTAGGTGAGGGCAAGGCTGCGCGGCCGCCTGACTGCGGGCGAACTGGCGGGCGCCGGGAGCCCCGTGCCGTCGGCTCTCGCCTGCCGGACCAGGCCTCCTCTGGGCGGCAAAGTTCGTGCAGGCCGAGGAGTCGCAGCCCGAGCCTGCAGCCCGAGGCCCGGGAACCTCACCCGGAGGATGGTTCGGCGCCCGCCAGGTTTCCACCCCAGCATTTCCGACCGCGGCTCAGTTCTTGCGACCCCGCGTCAGCCGGGCTCCGCCGCAGCGCTCCACTGGGGCCCACCGGATACTGGGGTGTCGGGGCCGTGGCGCAGGGTCTCTGAGCCCGCTGCTGGGCCCCAGCTCCGCTGCTTCGCTGCGGCCCGGCCCCGGGGAGACCCAGGCTCCCGGATCCCGATAAGACCCACGCACGGGCGGGCCTGAAAGCGGGCGCCGCCTCTGGCCCCAACCCTGGTGTCCAAAGTTGTCGTTTTCCTTCCTTCTCCTTTCTCTATTCCAACTCCCTGCATTGCTCAGCTGGGTTTTTTACCCCTACAAACTCGAAAAGCCAGGCACCAGGCAGCTGTAGCGGCCGCCACCCAGTCCTACGAGCGCCACAATGAATCGGATCCCGGTGCTTCGCAGGCTCCCGGCCCCCGAAGACCTCGCCACGGCCTCCCTGGACACTTTCTTGGCGATGTGTCCTGGACCTCTCGGCTCAGCGACTCTTGTGCGCTCTCGGCAACTCCCCAATTTTTCGTTTCGTTTCATTATTATTGTTTTTCTTTGGAAGGGCAACGAAAAGTGGCGCGTCGCAGGCTCCCGGGCCTCCAGCGGGAGCGCATTGTATGGGCACCGCGAAAGGCACCGTGGCCCGGCACCTCCTCGCCCTTTCCGGAGCCCGGTTCCCCCGACAGGCTTCTTCTTCCCTTGGGGCCAACTTCCCCACCAGGGACGCTGGGGTTGCAGGCACAGGGCAGGGCGCAGAGCCTGGAGCGCCCCGGGGGTCACCGCGACCCCCTGAGCCGGCCCCCAAGTGCGCCGGGCCTTTGCTTCTGCAGCGAAATTGTTTAAAATCTCGGGCGCCGACACGGTTGGGGCCAGGCTGGGCTGTGGGATGGGGTCTGCCGCCGGGGGTCCGGGAGGGCTTTGCGGGGAGACCGAAAGGCAGCGCCGCTCAGGGAGGCGGCCCAGCCAGGCTCAGCGGAGCGCGCTCCCCATTCTGCCGCATGTCCCTCCGCCCGCTTTTCAGATTCTGAAGATGTTTCCTCCAGTGACCGAAAAATGTCCAAATCGGCTTTAAACCAAACCAAGAAACGGAAGAAGCGGCGACACAGGTAAGGCCCCCGCGGCGCTTTTCCTTACATCTGCTGCCCATCCAACCCTCCTGGGGTCCCAGCTCCGGCTCGGCCACGCGGACCCTATGTTCACGGATCCCAGATGTGTGGTCCTGGGCTGCACCAGGGCCAGACCCCGCGTCGTTTGCAGGAATCTGCGCGGGGCCCTGGGGTCCAGCTGCTCGTAAAGAGGGTAACGAGGATAAAGAGGGTCCCGGAGAGCAGCGGTGTCGCTCGGGCCTCCTCCTTGTTCGGCCAGGGAAAGGAGAGGGCCCAACCCGGGCCAAAGCATAGCCGGAGAGGGGTTGGCGGCCCCTGGTCCCTGCGACTGTACTTTCCGAGAGCCACACGGACCTGGGCGAGGGCAGATCGGCTCCAACGTCCCAGCGGAGCGGGTCCTTTGCCCCTGCCTCCCTCACCCCCAATTCCTCTCCTTCGGCCCCGCCCTTTCTGCCAATTCCCCCTTTTGTGCTCTCACTCTTCCCCAAAGCTTCAGAGATGTCTGCAGTGTTGGAATATTTTCTCTTCGCCTTTGCTCTTTCTTTTTGTGCCTCTGAGAGGATCGCTTCCCTTTCGTGAGCCTCAGTTTCCTTGTCTGCAATAGGGAGCGTGGGAGGTGAACTGGGAGCTCTCGCCAGCCCTACCTCGAGTGGGGTGGGCTGCTCTGGAGTGCAGTCTAAAGAGCGAGAGTTGCTAACCTGTCTTTAAATAGGCGTTGGTTGCAGAATGTTAAAATTCCAAGGGAAGAGTATTCACCCTTCCCTAGCTCGGAGCCCCTAGACCCTCATTTCCTTCTTCATCAGCACCCCTGCTACTTGCTCCCTGTGTAAATTCACGAGGAGGTTTTTAAGAAAATACAGGAACAAGGAGCAAAACCCTGCCTGTCTTTCTGCTAGTGCTGCCGGAGGGGCTGTTTTCCCACCTCTGTCTACCCCAACCCGGGTGGGGGCGCCACAGCGTCTGGGACAGTTCCCAGCGGGGTGCTCTTGGCTCCCCGCTGGCCACATTCTCTCCTCTCCCCAGTTTGCACTCAGTGTCTCTCTGCACCTCCCTCTCTTTTCGCTTTTCCGTGTCTCTCCTCCTTAGCCTTCAGAAACTCCACCGTTTTCTTTTTAAAAGAACAGTCCTTCCAGAACTCTCGGTCCCCTACAGGTTAGTTTCTAGGGGACTGGTTCCTTCCCTTGGGGCAGCTGTTTACTTCAGTTCCGTTTGTTTTGTTTTATTTTATTTTAAACGGAAACATTGTCTTACTAGTCCTGTTCCTTTTTCATGTTCACTCATTCAACAAATATTCATGAAAACACCTCTTATACAAGCATCTCATGCTGGGGTCTGGGCAGGTAACGCGTCACCCTCCCCAAGCAGAAATGGGAGGTGGAGGGAGGGTGCTGGTGGTGAAATGGGGTAGAATAGGTGGGAGGGTTTGCCTAGCATGGAGAGCCCTGGAAAAATCACCCCCAAACCCCAGAAGAGGAGTGGCATCAGGACATCTCACTGTGTGGCACTTGCAGCTGGTGACTCCTGCCCTAAGTCCACGCCTGAGGTCCTCATCTGCCAGGGAAAACTTTAGGGGCTTTGGTGCATTGATTGGGGAAGAGGGGACAAAACAGCAACTCATCACCAGCAGAGAATGAACACCTCCAGTTTCTGTCTATCCCTGGTGCATGAAGGGGTGGATTATCAGAGAAAAGAATGGCTACTGATCACTTTTCTTTTTAATTTAAATTTTATTTTATTTTGCGGAGCTGAGGATCAAACCCAAGGTCTCATGAAGTGATCTAACAACACTGAGCTACATCCCAGCCCCTTGGTGCAGCATTTAACTAGTAAAAAATATATCTTCCTGAGCTTCTCTCCTATGGAGTTTTGAGTAAGAGACCCTGGAATCTGGTGCTGAGAGATGGAGCAAACCAGGATTGCAGAGTTGAGCAGGGTGGGGATGGAGCAACCATAGTGATGTTTCCTGAGATTTGGCTCTTTATGGAGAGCTCAGCTCCTCTGTAGGCTGATAGAAGAGTCAAAAAGGTTCTGGGGTTCTGCCTAAACCAGGAGCAGAGTGTGTGGGTCACATGGGGGTGGAAGGGGACCTCCCTGGAAAACACGTCATCAACATGTGGACTAGCTCTGACTTGGGTATACAGGAAGTTTGGGGGGGATTTGAGGTTGTTTTTGTCTTGTTTTGTTTTGTTTTGGTACCGGGGATTGAACTCGGGTCCTTGCGCTTACGCAGCAGGCGGCAAAACCACTGAGCTAAATCCCCGGCCCTTGTTTTTGTTTTATAGTGAATGGAGACTATAATCAGCTCCCCTCTGACACTGGCCAGGCCACACTACCTGTGTGCCTCAGTTTCCCTGGTTTTGAAAAGGACTTGCATATTTCAATTGTTCATTTTGCCGATCTGTTCAAGAGCCCTTCAGCAAATGGAAGGAGAACACTGAGAAAGCAGCAGATTTTCAAAATCCTGAAGCATTAACTCTGTGTCCATCAGAATTCCACAGATCCCCCTTGAGAGAACAGGCAAACTGATTTTGACTCAAACCAGTCATTTTCTGTAAAGAGCATGATCTTCTTTCTAACCCCCCCCCCGCCCCGTTATCCCCGTGATATTGAAGGGGACACCAGCACCGGGAATAGGTGGGGCTGCCGTTGTATTTCTTCTATATGTTGGGGGAAGGCACAGCAGTGAAACACTCTACACCCCTGTGCGGCCCCCACACTCAGACTCCAAGGAGGTCAAGCAAAAGATGTGCCACCTGTCATATCGCTGGTTGCTGTGTTGTTGGGGGCATAGGATGAAGGTCACCTAAAGTCTGGTAAAATTAAAGTCTGAAAAGCGAAGAGTTGTGTCTGTAAGTGGATATGTAGCAGTTTATTGAAGAAAGGGAGTTGATGAACTTCCTAATATTGAAGGTGAAATTTTATTATTGAAGCATTTCTTTGCACAATTTCCGAGGATGAGAAAAAGTAGTGTTTTGTTTATTTTTTCTTCTCTGGGGATTGAGCCCAGTGCTTTCAGGATGCCAGGCAAGCGCTCTACCTCTACCGTTGAGCTACTTCCGAACCTGTGAATGAAGCCTTTGCAGATCTTTTGAGCAGTTTATGACACAAAATAGGTCAATATGAACTGCTCTGTGCGGGGCAGGGTGGCTTGAATGGGGGCCCCCGCCCAGTGCATAGCTGAATCTGCCTGAGGGATAGTTTGGGAGACTCTCATCTTTTGAGCACCGGAGGGGACCAGAGGAAGGGCTGCTCTAGGCAGCTGGTGGGTTTGAGTGGTGGCAGAGGGCAGGTGAGGAGGGAGTGTGGGGTGGATTTAGGGGGTGGGAGTCCGTTCTCAGCTGTACAAACAGTGAATTGGGACTGCATTTGGCTCTCTGGTGAGTCTTCAAAGTTTAAGCAGGATTTAAAATTGACAGGAGCTGGGAGGCTGGCAGGTGGGGCTGGGGTACTTATCTGCTAAGGCCTCCAGTTCGTGCTTGGGAGGAGACAGGCTTTCTCCAGTCCTCTGAAATTTCCTGCTTAGCACCCTCTCCTGCAGAAAGATTCTCAGTGTGAAATGTCACCAAGGGCTGAAATAATCCCCCTGCAAAGTGTGTGTGTGTGTGTGTGTGTGTGTGTGTGTGTGTGTGTGTGTG